GAGAGCATCAAGTCAAACCTCAGAAACCACATAAACTAATGCAAAGATGAAATCCAACACAAATTTGCACACATTACCATAGAAGTACACCATCTTTCACAAGTTCATATAAATCATTGGAATCCGGATCCAAAGGTAGAAACTGCATCAAAAACGGATCATCTCTGAGATATCTGTTGATATGATGAACAAATGAACCCTTCTCTGACTGGTTTATAGTATGAAGGGTCGTTGTGCCGGCTTTAAGAAACGAAGATGAGTTCTTATGACCACCAGATTTATCAGCAGCTTTATCTCTCAGGTTTAGATATATCTGCAGCATTGGTATCAAAGAATCCAAAACCACACATTACACATGACAGATTCACAGGGAGAAAGAAAGATCACAAAACTGACCTTAAGAAACGATTCGAAATCAAAATCATCGGTTTCAAGATCAGAACCCAAATCTCCCAGGATTTCTCTGATTTCTTTCTCCTTAAATGTAGAACTAAGTGACTTCACCTTGACCAATACAGGTGGAAGATCCTCTGATGTAATCTTACGGCTCTGATTCTTCAACGACACAAACTAAACACAAATAGATCCAAAGTCTAAGTTTAGATTATTGCAATATCATCCATAACAACGATCCGAAACAATGGAAAGAGATGATTTACCTTGGAATTTAGACTCCGAAGCTCGACTTGTGTGAGCTGACTTTGTAGCCATGGATCCGAAACTATAACACCCTCGAAACCGGACATAGAAACCTCTCGTACTATCTAATCTCTCTGCAAAAGAAATTGGATCAAACGAAAAGAAACAAAAGATTGTGAAAAACGATACGAAGATTCATACTTAAAATAGCTACAACAAGAATCAACTGGATAACCCAACAGTTTTTTTGTTTCTTTTCCAGATAGATAAGGAAGCAAACGTGACATGAATCCGATTACGCAAACAAATAAAAATCCCCAGAAGTCAAGGAGAAACAAACCCCAATGTATGGAGATTCGCGTCTAATGTCTAAACGATGAAGTTTCTCACTCCTGAAAGAGAGGATCTGAAGCAGAAGGAGAAATCACGAGAATCGATACCAATGTGAAGAGGAAGAAGAAGATGAGAGAGAGGATCGTTTATTTGCTTCGTGGGAGAGCAAAGCGGAGGAGAGAGAAAGTAAAAAACGAGTTATGGTAGGAGGAAAATTGAATGCTTCGTGCAGAATCGCGAGTAGGGTTCTTTGTTTATTCATTTATACTTGCTTTAAGATCTTGACACGTGGAAGAACGGTGGACCTCACGGTATTAACGACTTGTGTAAGTGTCATTTCTTCTTAAATGAGACCACACAAA